CGGTGTGGAGAGGTGAAGGTGTCAGCGAAGCCGCAGAGGAGGGCTTGGCGTGCTCCGGGGCGGGGGGATGCGGGTGCTTGCGGATGCTGATGGTGCCTCGGCGTCCCCGGCCTGTTGGGCTGCGGTGCCCGCGGCTCCTCAGGGCTGGGCCCCCACGGGAGGTCTGCCCGGGGCACGGGGGGGCTTCTGTCCCCCAGGGAAGGCCTGGGCTGCCCGCAAGAGATCAGCGGAATGAGGGAGATCATCGCAGCCACTTGAAGGCACTTCCCGCGTGGTGTCCGCAAAGGACAAAGGCGATTTCCCCAAAGTAAGGGGTGAAAACTTGCAGCAAGGCATCTAACAGTGTTTGTTATTTTGTTTGTTTGTTTGTTTTCCAGAAAGTATCCAGTTATTCAGCAATGTTGTGGTCATTGCAGAATGCCTGTAGCGGGTGCAGCTATTCTGGATGACACCACGTTTGTTTTCATCACAAAAATTATGAAACCTAAAGCCAACAGTGCATTCATCTGTGGTCATTTTGCTTTGCAAAATGTGTGCTGAAAATGAATTCACATACTGTTCTGTGGGTCCCTTTGTGTTTTCAAAGCTATCGTTTACAGTTATTAGCGAGACAAAAGTTTAATAAGTTTTGTGATGGTTGCTGGCTGGATGCAGACGTGATGGCAGTGAGAAGGAAGAGCCCTGGCACCGCTTCTCCTGTCAGAGCACATCCTATGAACTGGTGCTAATGGGGCAGCAGGTCCCCTGGTACACCATCTAATTAGCACAGTGGTTCATTTTCCTCAGACCACAGCAAAATTACTGTTTGGATGATGTGACTATGATATCATAGGACTGCAGAGTGACTAGTACTATTACAGGAACACAAAAAAGCCCAAGTCATTCACCTCTTACAGCTTTATGGATACGTTAGAGCTACCAGGTCTCAGCTGCCCTTGTCAGGAGTCAGGAGGAGACTGAATGAGTAGACGAGAGGCAGATACATAGTGTCATGGCACGTCCCCTGCCTGACCCCAGCTGGGCGTACATAGTAGAGAGGAAAGAAAGGGCAAAGCCTTCAGAATGTTCAGTTATTTCACTGTAAGGATGGACTTTGAAAAATACCGCTTTGCCTCTCCCGTGAGTGCCCTTGGAAGGACTTTTTCCTCTAAGGCTTGTTGCCTTGTTACCTCTCTCTCCTTGTAGTTGCAGCTGGTGGTACAAGCTAGCCCCGTAATAATGCTTATCCTTTGGGAGCCAGGAGGTAAAAGGGAAAATTTGCATGGCAGGGTTCTCAACCTGTCGTAAAAATGTTACAATTTTGAGAAGCCGCATGAGGAGAGGGTGCGATGCCTTAGGGTGTGCCTCAGTTTCTGCTGCAGCTCTGGTCAGTATGTGGTCAGTCTCTCTGAGGAGGGCTGTTGGCAGGGCATTCCTTCCAAGAAGACAGTGAATTTGGCAGATTTTTCCTGTCCAGGTGAGGACTTATTCAGACTGAGCATGCTGTAGAGCCATCTGTGTGGTGAGGGTTTCATAACGGGTACAAGTATGTTTCTCATAATGACGGGTTCTCAGGAGATATGTAGCTGTCTGGCTGCCTCCAGGGAAGGCAGCTTTACTGCTGCTGGAACTGTTACTAAAATGACACCAGGATACCAAGTAGTTCAGTTAATCCTGTTCCTTAGGATTTTTCTGTAAATACTGGTATGCAGATTATTATTATTTTTTTTTAAATGGCCCCTGTGAGAAGTTCTCAGGTTTTTACTTGCATTTTGAATCCAGATAGAAATAGTGGTGTAGTTTTGAAAAATGAAACAGATCAAAATGTTTTAATTTGTCGACATTTCAACTTTTATGGGAGATTTTATTAAGTCATATAACTGCATAAAATTCAAGCTGATGACGTGAAAGTTAAATGTTTCCTCAATTTCCTATGAAAGGAACAACAACAACAAAAATATGATAGAATACCATTATTTTGTCAAGTCAGCATTTTTTCAAGAGCCATGAACTGTTTGGAAAAAAAATCAGCCAATTCCAATGGAAACCGTGTAATCGATATTGATAAGACATTTATGGAAACCATATAATCAATATTTATAAGATATTTTGGTGATTAGAACTCCATCTGCTAGGATAACAGAATCTGACATTTAACACAGTTAGATCAAGAGAGATAATTTAAAATAAATCTTTGGTGTAGATTGAAGCCACTATCATTAAAACAGACTTTGTCTGGGATGTTTCTTCTTTTTCTGTGTCCCTGTGAAGAAGTGTTTTAAGACTATGGGCATCACATAGTATTTGTAAATTTCATTTTTATATCTCATTTTCTGAAGTGTCTTGGCAGAGTTGCAATTTTCCCTTGAAGCGATCTTTTAAATATAAACAGCATTACTGTTTTCTCATGCTTGTTAGTGTTCCGTTCATACTGATTTTTGCTTTATTTTGAAGGATAGTGCTAGGAAGATAATAAAGCTGAAAACAGACTGATAAATGGTAGCCACACTGAAGAAAAAATATATCTTAGGGGTTTTTGAAATCTGGTTAAAATGAGCACATTAGTAAGTAGATATTTATGTTAATGTGAAATAATTTACTTCTCTAAAAGCAGTTCAGTAATTGTGTGTGTGCTTGTGTCTACATTCCTATTAGAGTGCAGCAGTCAGAGCTAACAGCCTACTACTCTTTCTTTTGAAATTCAAATGAATAATCATTTTTCTATTATCTAGGTCAATAGAAGTCTGGGCTACCCCAGAAAGTGGGAGAAAACAGGTAAAACACTATTCACTAAGGAGTTTCATGCCTGTCCCCATGGATGGAGGCTGGTTTTGCAGGTCTGCATCTACGTTGGGGCTTCCTAGTGGTCCAGTTTGTCAGGGATGTGTTATCCTGAGTGCAGTGCAGCACAAATATATAATACCAGTGAAAGCACTGAGGTGAGAAGCTGGTGTGAAACCTCCAAAAGCCTGAAACAAGCCAGTGAAAGACAACACACAGGAATGTAGGTCCTCTGAACATGGCTCTATGTGCTTATATCTGCCCCCATTGGTCCTTAAAAAGGTGAAGTGATCCATCTTTTTACGAGGCTGAACTCTATGCACTTCTTTCAAGTTTTTGACTACCAAACAAGAAGTTGATATGGGGTGGAAAAAAAAAATAAATATTCTTGCTGAAGAAACAGTGTATTAGAAGAAATGGAGGATATTCCCTCTTCTTACAGTGCCTGCTCTCTGTGTTAGATATAGGTGAACTGAAAGCCAAGATTTTTACTGTGCTAACTTTGAAGACGAATAGTATGATGAGTGCAGTTTTCTCTCAGTTATTTATTTCATGCCTGTTCTGAATTGTGCTGCAGATTTTTTTGTGTGGAGAGCCCAAAATGACTTTGCATGTGGAATGTGTGGGAAAACTGGAGTTACGCACCTTCTGCAAGGTGTGGGAAGTGCTTTCAGTCACAAGCTGTAGATTCAAAATGGAGGAAGAAAGAATTACAGTGAGAAGAGAGTTTTGTCTTAACAGCAAAGATATGATGAATTCTGAATGAAAGGGTCACACCTGAGGTTAGATCACAGACACATTTCCTAGGGTTCTTTTCTGGAATAAACATAAATTCCTTACAGTCATGGGAAAAAAACCTAAGCTGGTGGTCTTAGCTTGTGTTAGCTGACATGGGGTACAATAGCGAAAAGGCACACCAGCTGTGTTTTTTATGGTTTGGTGAATCTTTCTGTCCCTAGAGTTTTTTATCTTAAGCCACTGATTCACATGAGAGATTTAACATCCTTGTCATCACTAGAAAGATGACATCCTCTCCTGTCTTTTCAGCTACTCTACAGTAGCTGCTGCACACACTTGGGGTTGAGATGGTATAAGACTCTGGTTTCCACAAAGCCTTGGTTTTGAAAATAAAAGTATGTAGGTGCACAGAGCTGATATATGTAACAACTGAATTTCCATGAGAGAGATGAAGTGCACTCATTTAACTGAAACAGTGATCATTCCAGAGGATCAACTCATTTAGTAAAAATCTAGGAAAACTATATTTACACCCAATTTGAAACTAAATGTAGACAAAGGTATTAAAATGTATTTAACCTTGATTTTGTGTACTGAA